TCAAATTATGAGAAACATCTTCTTGTGGTCCAAATAGTTTCCAAACAAGTCAAAATTGTGTTGAAAACTTATTGTTAAACATAGTAAAAGTGATGAATTCTGTGAATCATTTTTTTTGCTAGTATTTAAATGGCAAAAATATGTTAATTGAGAACACATCCTGAATTTATTGCTGTTGTGAAAATTTAAGAAAATTGACAATCTATGCACATTTGCTTTGTATTCATCAGTCTCTTTGCCTCACAAAAAAACGTGCAAGCAGGGCCCTTGCTGACATGTCAACTTTCTAGTTTTGGGTGATTAATATTTAATTCACTGCAAAAAGATTCCTTAAATCTCTGAAACAGTTGAAACCAAAATATTTAAATGAACCTTTGTTTTTAGGAAGCAATAGAAGGAGGAGCAGTGATCAGTTAATATTTGATCAGTTGCTGGCTAACAGGACAGTTATAAATGATGGCACGGAAGATGAACTGGTATGTTATAAATGCTCATCCTTGTAGCTTTTGCAAATAAAATAATTTTTTTTTTGGTACCTGGTATATTGATAAAAGTAAATAATTCCCATGTTGAATCTTATACAGGATGAAAATATCTAGGCATATTTCTTAATTTTTTTATTCAAAGAATTGATTTTTTCCCTGGAGTGCTACAAATGTATGTATGATTCCAGAACCTTACACATATTTATTGATTGGTGTTTTACACCACTTTCAGCACTATTGTGCTATTTTGTCGCAATCAGTTTTTTTACGAACTCAAAAAATGTGTGTTCGTATAATGCTATCATGTCGTCATCGTCGTCAGCGTAGTCGGCATCATCGTCCGAAAAATATTTGGTTTCCAGACAATAACTTTAGTTTAAGTGAATGGATCTCTATGAAATTTTACCAGAAGGTTCAATACCACAAAAAAGGTTGGGATTGCTTTTGTGGGTTATGGTACCAACAGTTTAGAAATTAGGGGCTAAAAACAAGAATTTTGTATTTTCCGGAAAATAACTTGTGTGTATGGAGCGCTCTGAAATTGTACCACAAGGTTCCATACCACAAATGGAAGGCTGGGATTGAGTTTGGGGGTAATTGCCCCAAACATGTAGAAATTAGGGGAAAAAAGAGCCAAAAACAAGCATTTTTCTAGTTTCCAGACAATAACTTGTGTTAAAGTTTATGGAACACTCTGGAATTGTTCATTTTTCCTGAAAAGAAAATAATGTTCAAAATTTAAAAAAAAATTTGGGAGGGGGGTAAAAAAGTTTGGGTAGGGGGGGGATTTCTTTTCAAATTTTTTTTTGGGAGTTGATATCTTTTTTCTTCAAAATTTTTGAAAAATTTTTGGGGGGGGGGGGATTTTTTTTAAAATTTATTCTTCAAGATTTTTCAAAATTTCAAATTTTTTCAAAAAAAATTTTTTAAGGGTGGGACAAATTTTTTTTTTCATAATTTTTTGTGTTTTTTTCCTCAAAATTTTCAATATTTATATTGATTATTTCTGATTTATATATAAAAGCAACAAATACTGTTATGGCAGAAGATACACAACAAACGGTGTGTAAATATAGATTCTACCACTGCATCGAGTGTGATACGATATTTATCCACTCGAGACAGTTAAATTTTCAAATTTAAAACGCGAGGCTCGCCGAGCGTTTTGAATATTTAAAATTTAACTGTCAAGAGTGGATAAATATCGTATTACACGAGATTTGGTGGTGGAATCTGTTTCTCTAATGATTTTCAAACAATACGCAGGCAAATTTATTCCTTCTTTTCGAATGATCTGCAAAAAGATTTGTTCTTTCTATGTGACGTCATCAGGTATGGTCGCCTTTTTTCATGCCGTCACAATAGGAAATTCAGAGGAAAGCAAGAAAATTAGACGTCATAATCGGATTTTAACCAATGAAGAACTGAGATCAAACGAACCACACGTTGATTAAATTTTGTTTATACAATGGGTGCAGAAAGGGATAAATTGACGAAGAATTAGAGAAATTATTACATATAACATGCACAGTATTGCGCAATATCACAGTATTGTGCAATAGCAAGAAATCTTCAATTGAAAATAAATACACATCTTTTAACCAATTTCAATGGGATTAATTTAAAGTCTTTAATTTTTGGGGGTTCTAACCTTGTATTACTATTTTGGACATTGGCCCCCATTTTTAAATTGGTCTACATTGAGGTCCAAAGGGTCCAAAATTAAACTTTGTTCGATTTTAATCAAAAACTGAATTATTGCGGCTCTATGATATGCTGAATCTTATTGTGCATTTAGATTTTTTATTTTGGGCCCTGTTTTCAAATTAGTCCATATTAAGGTTTGAAGGGTCCAAAATTAAACTTTGTTTGATTTCAACTAATATTAAATTTTTGGTGTTTTTTTATATGCTGAATCTAACCATGCTGTTAGATTTTGGATATCAGACCATACTAGGTAAATTAAATGTCCCATTTCAAATTTTTAAGATCTTTTACCACATTTATTTTGTGTCAGAAACCTATATTATGTCAAAAGTCAAAAATTTGATCACAATCCAAATTCAGATAGTATCAAGCTTGTATATTGTGTCCAAACTTGCCCCAACTGTTCATGGTTTGACCTCTGCGGTCGTATCAGGCTGCGCTGGGTGAAGCAGGAAGCCAGAGAGAACCAGGAAAACTGACTATCCTAGTCAATTAAGATTGAAGTAAAATGCACCTGCCACATGTGGGATTCACAACCTCAGTGTTGATATAATAGCTTGTGATACAGTAGTCAGACTACTTAGACCAGTCAGCCACCAAGGCCTGTACATTACTTATAGAATCATTACACTTTATTAATTTATAGTTACAGAACTTCGTTGTGATTTTAACAATTGTTCTTTTAGCTTTGCTATGGTTACTGCTACAGCCAATGGAGAGTTATTGTTTTCCCCATTTTGGTCCTCATTACTGGTGGATTTATCCTATTATTGATGTCATGGAAACCACAACTTAAATGTTACCTAAGAAAAAAGAAATGTTCTTTGCAATCAGCTGATCATATACTTGTACAGGTACTGTTACATTTGTAAGAACTCTGTTCATTGTTTAGAGTTATACATTTCTTTTGAATTCTCTTTAGTAACATTAAAATATGCAGTTTTGGTTCAAAGTTTACATTTTTCAGGGATGATGCAGCTGTAAAATGACAGGAAATTCTGTTAAATGTCAAAATATACACTACTTTACTTGCAAATGCTTAGAAATAACATAGAACACAACCCTTGCCCTAAAAGATATTCAAACAGGAAGTTATTTTTTATATAATTTATTTACATATTCACTGGTAATTATTATGGTCCATGTTAGTTTGGTCAAATGTTTCTGATGAATTTGGCTTTTTTTTTTTGGCAAAAACTCTGAAAAGCAACCTTAAATGAAGACGTCACATTAATAGCATCACAGTCAAATTGTGTCATAAGTACTATTATAGTTTTATTCTAAAAGCCACCAAAAAAGCCATAAAATGAATATTTTCCTTTACCATTGGTCTTCAGTTTGAAAACATTGTCACTTTTTTGGATATTACTACCAGGTAGTCTAAAACCATTAGGTTTGTAAACTGGTCTTTGTCTATGTTGACACCTAACTTATTTAACTGATGATTATTATACCCCACTCAACAAGTTGCGGAGGGAATAATGTTTTTGACCCGTCTGTCCGTCCGTCAGTCAGTCAGTCCGTCAGTCCTGTTTCTTGTCATCGCAATTCCTCTCAAACCACACAACAGAATTTCACGAAACCTTTTTAGATAATAAGGACATACTATGTAGCTGTGCATATCGACAGGAAATTGCGATTCAATTTTTTTTCTAGGAGTTACGCCCCTTTGAACTTATTTACTTTAATGTACTACTGCAACAGTTTGTCATCGCAACTCCTCTGATACCACACAACAGAATTTCATGAAACCTTTTTAGATAATAAGGACATACTATGTAGATGTGCATATCGACAGGAAATTACGGTTCAATTTTTTTTCTAGGAGTTATAGTCTAGTCAATTTAGTGACAAACCTGCAACTAATTGCAACACAAAGTTTTTCTCTGAAAAACAAGTCTGTTACTATCTATGAACAACATACTAAAACTATACAAAAATATATTTTGCGGAAAGTGGTGTAATTTATAAAAATGTTTTGTAGTAAAAGTCAGGTTATATGAGTTGCTTCCCCTTATTTGCCAAAGTTGAAAAAAATAAAATTATACAAAAAATGTTCTGTATTTTTTAAAACAGTTCAAATAATACAATACAATACATAATTATTTCAATTTAAAAGAATAATTTTACAAACGAATCACTTTCCTGTCTCAAAATTTGTATATTTGAATAAAGATATAGACCGAGATTGTGTTCTGTTATTTTACAATCCAAGAATCTAATTCTCCAAAAGAGTGTTGGTAAGTAACCTATAAATGGAAAACTGTACTGAATTAGAGTAACCAACTTAATCAATTATTTCTTGGTATTTGAAAGAATTCTGTCCCTGTGTTAAAGGCACAGACAGGTTATTTTTTGTTGGGGGAGTGGTTCCAGAAACACATGTTTTGTTCTTTATAAAAAAAAATGTTTTTGAAAGATTCAAAGTCTTTAGGTATTTTTTTCTCCACAACTTTAGAAAGAAAACAATATATTTTTTTCATTTACCTTCTGGAACAAACATGTTAAGATTTAGAATCCAACAATGTTGCATAAAAAAATAAGAACGATGAGTGTTAAATGATTTTATGTTAAATATTTTTTCACAAATGAAAATTTCAGGCTCCTCAAAGCAAATAGCTACTCATATAATTTGCGACGATCTCAGTACTCACACACCATATAAATAAAGCTTTGACTGTAACACTGAATCCACTTTTTACTTTGGTTACTAATCAGATGTGTACTTATATTTTAGTCGGTGCCAACAGTATTTATTCATCAACTTTAATTACTAAGCTTTGAACTAGCTATGAGAACTCAGTGTCTTTTTATACGACCGCAAAAAAATTTTTGTGGTCGTATATTGGTATGACGTTGGCGTCGTCGTCGTCGTCGTCGTCGTCGTCGTCGTCGTCGTCGTCGTCGTCGTCCGAATACACATTAGTTTTCGCACTCTAACTTTAGTTTAAGTGAATGGATCTCATTGAAATTTTACCATAAGGTTCAATACCACAAAAGGAAGGTGGGGATTGATTTTGGGGGTTATGGTACTAACAGTTAAGGAATTAGGGGCCAAAAGGGGCCAAAAATAAGCATTTTTGTAACTTCCAGACATAACTTGTGTGTAAGTGTATGGATCTCTCTGACATTGTACCACAAGGTTCCATATCACAAAGGGAATGCTGGGATTGATTTTGGGGGTAATTGTCTCCAAATTTTAGGAATTAGGGGCCAAAAAGGGGCAAAAAACAAGCATTTTTCTAGTTTCATGACAATAACTTGTTTGTAAGTGTATGGATCTTTATGAAATTGTACTACAAGGTTTCATATCACAAAGGGAATACTGGGATTGATTTTGGGGGTAATTTCCTCCAAATATTAGGAATTAGGGGCCAAAAAGGGGCAAAAAACAAGCATTTTTCTAGTTTCATGACAATAACTTGTTTGTAAGTGTATGGATCTTTATGAAATTGTACTACAATGTTCCATATCACAAAGGGAAGGCTGGGATTGATTTTGGGGGTTTTCCCTCAAAATTTTAGTAATTAGGGGCCATAAAAGGGCAAAAAAAACATGCATTTTTCTAGTTTCAGGACAATAACTTGTGTGTAAGTGTATGGATCTTTATGAAATTGTACTGCAAGGTTCCATATCACAAAGGGAAAGCTGGAATTGAGTTTGGGGGTAATTGCCCTAAACGTTTAGGAATTTGGGGCCAAAAAGGGGCCAAAAAACAAGCATTTTTCTAGTTTCCAGACAATAACTTGTGTTCAAGTGTATGAATCTCTCTGAAATTGTACTGCAAGGTACCATACCACAAAGGGAAAGCTGGGATTGAGTTTGGGGGCGATGAATCATAAGGGGGTTCAAAAAATTGGGGGGGGGGGGGGATTTTTTTTTTCCTTTTTTTTTCTTTAACATTTTCCATTTTAAATTGGTTATTTCTGATTTATATATAAAAGCAAATAATAATGATATGGTTTGAATAGGCATACATGTGAACCTCCCGACGGGAGTACAATAATCCCGTTTTCAGGGGTCTCCTCCCCCCCTCCCGTTGAAAAAATCCCGTGTATGAAATTTTTCATGAATGAAAAATTTCTGCCCAACATAACATCTCAGGCATCTGGTGTAACTGACATTACCTGAAGTTATATTTTACCTGTAAATCAATTAACATGCATAATTATATGGCTTCACTTGTCAGCTTGGGTGTCAAACATACTGGTAAGCAACGATTTTTACCTCAGGCTAACTGCCGTTGTGTAACAAAAACTGTGTATTTATTGGGTTACTTCCCTTGATTTATCCTGTTTTAAGTTACTTTCCTTTTAATAATGAAAATTTTTAAAAGAATATAAATAATATATAAATTGAACAAATAATCATAAAAGGATGGTTATTAAATGATTTTAAATGTCTTTGGACAAATAAAAAAATAATAATTTGAAAATTATTTGAGGATTCTATACTTCCTTTTAAGGCTTAAATTGAAATTTATATAATAACTATGACCCTAACTTTACAGACTGAATGAATTTCTGAGTTTGCAAATAAAAACTATTTGCAAGAGAAAAAAAAAAAATAAAAACTGTTTGCAGACAGCTAAACAAATGTTCTGGTTGCAATGATTGTTTTATAGAATATGAAGTAAAAAATTTAAAGAACATACTGGAAAAAAACAATGTTAGATTGAACATATAGAATATAAAGATGGAGAAACTTTATAAGTACAAGGGTACTATAAACATAATAAATTGGTTGGAAAGTTGAAGAAAACACACTTTAAAAGACCATTTTTACAGCACACGGTTACATTTACAACAAAATTAATGTCGATTAAAAACCTCCTGATCTGAGTCCTAATCTCCTGACCAAAATTTCCCAATCTCCTGATCTGAGTTTCACAGTCCATCACATGTATGAATAGGTAAACTGAAAATTTTTAAGTTCTTAGACCACTTTCATTCTGTGTCAGAAACCTATGCTGTGTCAAATATTTAATTACAATCCAAATTCAGTGCTGTATCAAGCTTGAATGTTGTGTCCATACTTGCCCCAACTGTTCAGGGTTCGACCTCTGCGGTCGTATCAAGCTGCGCCCCAGCGGAGCATTTTATTGTTAATTGGTTATATACTCCGTGCTGATCTTTTTGAGTTGAGCCCTTTCCAACTGGGTTTTACAATTTGTTCTTACGTTGTTTGCTATTTAAATAAAATTGAGAATGGAAATGGGGAATACTGTATGTCAACGAGACAACAACCCGACCAGATCAAGAGATGATAACAGCCGAATGCCACCAATGGGTCTTCAACGCAACGAGAAAATCCCGCACCAGGAGGTGGTCCTCAGCCGGCCCCTAAATAAAACTGTTCCTGATTATTGGAGGGTTGAGTGCTCGCAAATAGGGTTAACCCTGCACACTATGAATATGATTATCACAAGTCAGTGGCCCTTTATTACTTGGTTGTTATTGTTTGCTGTCTGTCATATTTGTTTTTCCATTTATTGTTTTAACATTAATCAGGCCTTTGAGTTTCTCGATTGACTTGTTTTATATTTTGACATGAGGTGTATTTTTTTTATATATTTTTATAGTTTCGTACAAATGAGTTGAATACAGGTAAGCATTCCGGAAGCAGAAAACAGCGTCTTTAACATTGATATATCTGCAATAGAGTATATTTATGAATAAAAAGAGATTTGAGGTTTTTAAAATCAACCAGAAAGCAACCCAAACGACTTACAAAAACCAACAGACATACTTTCAGATTAGACATGACTATCTAAACGCTATCTCTGGCCATCAAAGTCGCCCACAGACACTACAAATTTTAATTCATACACAGATGATGCATGATCATTTTTTTTACAGTTCTTAGGCTAAAGCTGATTACCTTTTATTAAATCAATTCAATGAGATATATTAAATATATTAAATAAAGAACTTGGTAATGCTTTTCTTTATATACTAGTAAGTATATATATATATATATATCTTTAACCATAGTATTTTCATATAGCAGACAACCCATGTTAGTTCTTTGTCATTACCATTTGGTTGATGTTTCAGACCACCACATACATGCAGGTTTATAGGGTACACACATAAGGCGCCTTTGTTATTAACACTTCCTCCAGGAAGTGATCACATTAATTCATTCAACAGTGCTTATCTCATTTTCAACATCCAAAATTGGACCACTTTAGTACAATTACTATTTAAATTCAAGCTCTTGAGGTAAACTTATAATCGTATTGACAAAGCTGCTCTTGAAATTGCCTTAAACAATATCAGATCTACATTTAATTTTCGATCTATGAGTTTGACTGTCCCTCTGGTATCTTTTGCCCCTCTTTTAATGCTAATTCAGTGAACTAGTATATGTTCCTCAATTTAAAAAGCTTATATATCTGAAATTAAATGTGGATATTGATAGAGCTTGCTAAATAAAATAGCAACACATTAAGAGAAATCTTCAATCACATGTGTTTAACTGTGACTTTATGCAATTCAAATATTGTAAAAGTAGCTAATGAAAAAATACACAAAAAAATACAGTCAATGACGATGCAAGGACAATAGAAAAATGACTTTTGCAGCAATTAACATGACAAAATCAAAGTCAGTAACCAAACTGATTTACAGGTATTTTTGAACACAATCATTTTTAGGCAGTTAAGCTGCCTTATGCTAGCACCCTAGATTTGTGTTCTTCCTAACGAATGCTGAAAAAAGTGCCATTGTTGTAATCTAGCAGGCTATTATGTTATTTATAACTAATTGGACATTTTTTTCATTCTTTTAATTCTGGAATACAAAAAATATGACCAGAATAACCTTAAATGATCGTCGAACGACGCATAATATTTGAAGTTGCACATAGGAAATAGTGCTCAATAGAAATCCGTACGTAGTTTATTATCCCCTGTGCTTTTGGCTAAGATGGCAAAGAACAATTGTATGAAATATTTCATCGCCGAAAATCTGTAATTACAAGTCGTTTATATTTCCCAAATGGCAAAATGCGCAGGAATATTGTTCATGTACACCAAATCTCTATGATAGAGGGAATAAAGTTATATATAGTACACATGTAGTCTAAGTTGGCGGTAATTTTAACTTACACGAAACGTAAGTTCGTTTGATTCTGATGATAAAAAGTCCGATTAAGCGAAAGTACTCTTAATCATGATATTCTTTTAGTTTAAGAAGATTGTGATTATTTAATTGATTTCAATTAAATGTATGCACATTTAAATTCCTTTCTTTTATTAAATTATTCCGTTTATCACTGAACTTGATGTTATTTTATGAATGAAAAACCGTAAATCGACGTAATCAATGCCGACCAATCAGGTCGATGTTTTAAGAAATGCGGAATAACTCGTCCCAGAGACAAGTCGGACCGAGTCCACTCGGACTGTCTAAGAAAACAACTCGGACCCCTTGTCAGATTAACTTAGGGTTTCATAAAATGTAAGACTAACATGTCTAGCGGAGCCACCAATCTTTCGTTTGTGCATTGAGAACTATTTAGGGGTATTTTGAGGGGCCCAAAGAAGGGAGGGGTTTACTGTAGAACCCTATGGGATTTTATTTTCAAATGACTATTTATACTCAAAAACAGTAAGTGATAGACACGCGTGGTCTTCGGTAATGAGAACAGGACAATGAAACAAATCAAATAAAATATAGGGTGAGTCCCTGGGGGTCATCCCACCCCCCTTCAATTTGAAAATGTTCTTTTATCTTATAAACGGTCGCGATCCCCACCCCTAAACCATATATATACTTGTATGGGACAATAAAACCAATCAAATGAAAATTTGGGGGAATCCCTGGCGTCACCCCACCCCTTTCTGTTTCAGAACTTGTAAACGGTCGATATCCCCACCCCTAAACCATATATATTCATGTATGGGACAATATAACAAATTAAATGAAATATAGGGGGAGTCCCTGGGGTCACCCCACCCCCTCCTGTTTGAGAACTTGGAAACGGTCGAGATCCCCACCCCTAAACCATATATATTAATATATGGGACATTATAACAAATCAAATGAAATATAGGGGGAGTCCCTGGGGTCACCACACCCCCTCCTGTTTGAGAACTTGGAAACGGTAGAGATCCCCACCCCTAAACCATATATATATTAATGTATGGGACAATATAACAAATCAAATGAAATATAGGGGGAGTCCCTGGGGTCACCCCACCCCCTCCTGTTTGTAAACGGTCCCCACTCCTAAACCATATTTATTCCTGTTTGTCATTTCAAAATAATTTGAATGATATACAGGGTCAATCTCCAAGGCGTCGCATTATGTGACATATGCATATCACTTTACTAGACCAAACCAATGTGTACTGGACTTTGCCCAATGTCAGGCGACCATGGGAATGACGAATTATGGGAGCTTTGTTTGGGAAACTTCGTAACAGCATCCTGTTACAATTATTTCTTGTTTATTATAAAATTTTATTGATGCAAAAAATGAGTCTAGGTAAATTGAATTTACTTTAATTATTTTTTGAATTATTTCTGGGCCTATAAAAATTTTCATTTATGGCTCATTTTAAAGATAACATATAAATCTTTCAAGCAGTGTAAAGCCCAAGAATGTTTGACCAATTGTTTTATTTGACAGGAGAACCTGAGATCACCCCCAGTTTTTGGTGGGGTTCGTGTTGCTTAGTCTTCAGTTTTCTATGTTGTGTCATCTGTACTATTATTTGTCTGTTTGTCTTTTTATTTTTGGCCATGGCGTTGTCAGTTTGTTTTCGATCTATGAGTTTGACTGTCCCTCTGGTATCTTTCGTCCCTCTTTTATAATCACCTGTCATTTTATTCCAAGCTTGGTATGGAGTGATATCACGGACTTGGGGTGAAGGTGGGGGTCATTTACATTTACTATGGTCAGGGCAGTCAGACCTCATCTTTGATCCCTGTAGTAGTAAACATTTGTCTGATTTGTGTCTCATAACTTTTGTACTGTAGAACCCAAACACAGTGTTCCTTCCAGGGAAGCAAGTCCATTCATACAATTACGTCAACTTGTACCACTAAAAGTCAACTGGTACCAACGTTAACTACCAACTAGAACACCTGCAATCATTGCGAATTTGTACCACTGCAGACTCACCATTAAAAATATACATTGATATATGCGTTGCTTTAGAAAACCTTGATAAAATATTAATTAATTTGCCTTAATAATCAATTCATTAAATAAACATAAATGTACAATATACAAATGTTTAATGTTTGTTCTTTCAAATCTGAAAAAAAAATTGAAGCAACAATGCCACAGTTTTCATAATTACGTTTGCCTTGGTTTTTGGTTAACTGCCTGCAGCGCTTACAGTGCTTTGATTTGTTTATTATACCTACACATATAATTACTATAAATACATAACCGAAACATAAGATAAAATTTCAAACTTCCACAAAATGCACATATTTAAAACTGAGTTTTACTGTGTAGTTGTTTATTCTATATTGTCTAGAGAAATTAGGGGAAGGTTGAGTTCTCACACAACATGTTTTACCCCTGCCACATTATTGCACCTATCCCTAGTCAGGAACCTCTAGCCTTTGTTTGTCTTGTGTGTGGTTTTTTGTGTGTGATAATTTTGGT